GCGCTGACCGACAACATGTACCGGAACATGCTGATCGACGGCGAGAACCAGTGCGTCATCATCAGGTACTGGGAGCACTGGGCACTGCTGGAACACTGCTGGGACACAACTGGGACATAACTGGGGCATTGGGACACTGCTGGGGCACAGCTGGGAGACAGCTGGGACACTGGGGCACAGCTGGGACACTGGACACAGCTGGAACACTGCTGGGACACAACTGGGACACTGGGCACAGCTGGGACACAGCTGAGACACAGCTGGGGCACAGCTGGGACATTGGGACACTGCTGGGACACAGCTGGGACACTGGGGCACAGCTGGGACACTGGGCACCAGGACAGTGGGTACAGCTGGGGCACTGGGCACTGGGACACTGGGCACAGCTGGGACACTGCTGGGACACTGCTGGGACACAGATGAGACACTGAGGCACACTGGGACACTGAGCATGGGGACACTGGGCACAGCTGGGACACTGGGGCACAGCAGGGATACAGCTGGGACACTAGGCACTGGCCACAGCTGGGAAGCTGGACACAGGGACACTGGGCACTGGGGCACAGCTGGGACACAGCTAGGAGACTGGGGCACTGGGAACAGCTGAGACACTGCTGGGACACAGCTGGGACACTGGGGCACAGCTGGGACATTGGGACACAGCTGGGGCACAGCTGGGACACTGGGCACTGGGCACAGCTAGGAAACTGGACACTGGGACACTGGGACACTGGGGCACTGGGACACTGGGACACTGGGACACTGGGGCACTGGGACACTGGGACACTGTCACTGCTTTCCCCATCACCCCCTCCCCAGCCCAGCGGGTTCCCCACTCTGAGGTGTCTGAGGACTCTTTGGGGTGTCCAGTGGGACCCCCACAGCCCCGGGCACCCCAGAACCTTGTGCAACRCCCTTTCCGGAGCGGTGTCGCAAGGGCAGTGCTCAGGATGTGGGGCAAGGCCGGACACTTCCCTCTGACACTCCCAAAKCTCCCCCGTCCCCAGGACCYAAAAATCCTAAAAACCAAGTGACAAAAAATCCAACATCTCCCGCAGCGGGTCCTGGAGCGAGCCAGGCTCTGCTCACACCAATCCCCCTGGTCACCCCCATGCCAKGGGGGTGGCACGGACCCCAAAACCTGCTGTCACCCTCTGGCCCCGCTCCAGGAGCCCCCCAAAGCCCCCAGGAYGGGCGGCTCTGGCGGGGCCGTTTCACACCCGCTCTGTTTGGCATTTGCGCAGCGGAGAAAGCGGCGCCGGGAAAACGGTGGCGGCCAAATACATCATGGGSTACATCTCCAAAGTGTCCGGGGGCGGAGAGAAGGTCCAGGTAGGGCTCTTGTCACCCCTGCCACCCATCAAGTCACCTCCCAGCTGATGGTGGCACCCATTATCTCATCTCCTAACTCATCCTCTCCGTCCTGACCCCAACCCCGCAGCTGAGGGTGGCACATGGGGCAGCCACGCGGGGATTGGGGACAAAGCCCCAGCTCTGTCCCCAGCCCYGTCCCCAGCCCCAGAGCTGTGCTCAGCTGTCCCCTGCTCTGTCCCCAGCAYGTGAAGGACATCATCCTGCAGTCCAACCCGCTGCTGGAGGCCTTTGGGAACGCCAAAACTGTCCGGAACAACAACTCCAGCCGCTTCGTAAGTGCCAGGACGGGACAGGGGGTCAGTGCTGCGGGAGAAACACTGACCTGGCTGGGCTGGACAGATGACCTTTGGGATCGATTTGTTCAAAGCTGACCTTTGGGATCCATTTGGTATAAAGCTGACCTTTGGGATCGATCCATTTCAAGCTGACCTTTGGGATCCATGCAGTTCAAAGCTGACCTTTAGGGTTGATTGGGTTCTAAGCTGCCCTTTGCTATCGATCTGTTCAAAGTTGACCTTTGGGATCGATCCATTCAAAGCTGACCTTTGGGATCCATTTGGTATAAAGCTGACCTTTGGGATCGATCTGTTCAAAGCTGACCTTTGGGATCGATCTGTTCAAAGCTGACCTTTAGGGTCGATTGGGTTCTAAGCTGACCTTTGGGATCGATCCATTCAAAGCTGACCTTTGGGATCGATCCATTCAAAGTTGACCTTTGGGATTTGATCTGTTCAAACCTGACCTTTGGGATCCATTCAGTTCAAAGCTGACCTTTGGGATCAATCTGTTCATAGCTGACCTTTGGGATCGATCTGTTCAAAGCTGCCCTTTGGGGTCAATTCGTTTCACAGCTGACCTTTGGGACTGATTCAGCTCCAAGCTGACCTTCAGGATCAACTCGGTTCAAAGCTGACCTTTAGGATCGAGTCCAACCATTTCCYCAAGGCCACCAAGGCCACCACCAGACCRTGTCCCCAAGTGYCACATCCACCCACCTYTTAAATCCCTCAGTCTGTTCCAGTGCCCGGYCACCCTTTCCACAAAGGAATTTTTCCTCATTTCCAACCTAAATCTCCCATGGGACAGCGTGAGGCTGTTTCCCCTTTTCCTTTTGCCTGTTTTCTGGGAGAAGAGACTGACCCCACCCAGCTCCAAGCACTTTTTGGCAGTTGTAGGGTTGCAATGGGGTCTCCACACAAACCCTAAAGTCTTCAAGCAGGGGTTGCCCATCCCAGCAGAAGGGGGAGAGCAGCCAGGGCTGAAGGGAAGGGAGAATCCCACAAATCTGAGCRGGATCTGTGCCTGAACAGGGAAAATACTTCGAGATCCAGTTCAGCCGGGGCGGAGAACCCGACGGGGGCAAGATCTCCAACTTCCTGCTGGAGAAATCGCGCGTGGTGAGCCAGAACGAGTGCGAGAGGAATTTCCACATCTACTACCAGGTACGGGGGCAACCTGGAACCACAGGGCCACAGGGCAGGACATGGCGAGCTGGGTGACCCCAAATCCCTGGGGCTGCAGGGGAGGACACGGGGAGCTGGGTGACCCCAAATCCCTGGGGCCACAGGGGAGGACATGGTGAGCTGGGTGACCCCAAATCCCTGGGGCCACAGGGGAGGACATGGCAAGCTGGGTGACCCCAAATCCCTGGGGCAGCAGTGCAGGACATGGCGAGCTGGGTGACCCCAGATCCCTGGGGCTGCAGGGGAGGACACGGGGAGCTGGGTGACCCCAAATACGTGGGGCCACAGGGCAGGACATGGCGAGCTGGGTGACCCCAAATCCCTGGGGCCACAGGGGAGGACACGGTGAGCTGGGTGACCCCAAATCCCTGGGGCTGCAGGGGAGGACACGGGGAGCTGAGTGACCCCAAATACGTGGGGCCACAGGGCAGGACATGGCGAGCTGGGTGACCACAGCCCCCTGTCCCCTCCCAGCTCCTCGCAGGGGCGTCCCAAGAGCAGCGGCAGAATTTGGGCATCATGAGCCCCGATTATTACTTCTACCTGAACCAGACCGACACCTACCAGGTGGAGGGCACCGACGACCGCAGCGACTTCCATGAGACCATGGTGAGTGAGTGCCCCACTGGGGTGTCCCCAAAACTCCCAGGGCCGGGCAGAGGGGGCTCACGGGGTCCCCACGCCCCCAGAACGCCATGCAGGTGATCGGAATCCGTGGCGAGGACCAGCAGCTGGTGCTGCAGATCGTGGCGGGCATCCTGCACCTGGGAAACATCGGCTTCCGTGAGGAGGGGAACTACGCCCGCGTGGAGAACCCCGACTGTGAGTGGCCATGAGCTGCAGGGGACGCGTGGGGACGGTCATGGGGACCCTCGGGAATAGGGAGAACACCTGCCCCACACAGAGGGAATGGAGAGAATGTGTTGATCAGCCACAGGACAGGTGGCAGGTGGCACCTTGGGGACAGGAAGGACCCGTCCCATGTCCTCTGTCTCACTTGTCCCTGAACCATCTCGTTGTCCCACTGCCATCCTTCATGCTCAGATGGGGTTAGGGTTAGGGTTAGAGTTAGGGTTAGGGTTAAGTTTAGGTTTAGGGTTACGGTTAGGGTTAAGTTTAGGTTTAGGGTTACGGTTAGGGTTAGGGTAGGGTTAGGGTTAGGCTTAGGTTTAGGTTTAGGCTTAGAATTCAGGTTAGATTTAGGGTTAGGGTTAGGGTTAGTGTTAGGGTTAGAGCTAGGGTTAGGGTTAAGTTTATGGTTAGGGTTAGGGTTAGGCTTAGGTTTAGGGTTAGGGTTAGAATTCGAGTTAGATTTAGGGTTAGAATTCGAGTTAGGGTTAGGGTTACAGTTAGGTGTAGAGTTAGAGTTAGGTTTTTGGGTTAATGTTAGGGTTAGTGTTAGGRTTMGAGTTAGGTTTAGAGTTAGGGTTTTGGGTTAATGTTAGAGTTAGGGTTAGTGTTCGGGTTAGAGTTAGGGGTAGGTTTACTGTTAGGCTTAGAGTTAGGGTTAGGATTAGGGTTAGGTTTCGGGTTAGGGTTCTGGACAGCGTGGGACTGGCAGAACACGCCCTTGACCAGCCCTGCTCTTCCCAGCCCTGGCCTTCCCCGCCTACCTGCTGGGGGTGGACCAGGAGCGCCTCAACGAGAAGGTGACCAGCAGGAAGATGGACAGCAAGTGGGGCGGCCGCTCCGAGTCCATCACCGTCACCCTCAACGTGGAGCAGGCGGCCTACACCCGCGACGCCCTGGCCAAGGGGCTCTACGCCCGCGTCTTTGACTTCCTTGTGGAGGTGCGTGGGCCCCTGGGGTGGCCTGAGAGGGAATGGTCACCCCTTCCCACTGACCAATGCCCACACTGTCCCCTCTGTCCCCTCAGGCCATCAACCGGGCGATGCAGAAGCCGTACGAGGAGTACAGCGTTGGGGTGCTGGACATCTACGGCTTCGAGATCTTCCAGGTGCGTGCAGCTGAGCTGTGGGATGTCCTGCCCTGATCCCACAGCAGGGACAGCAGAGTGGCCCCAAGAAGGTCCCCAGATCTTTTCGGTTTCCTGGCTGGGGAAGAGAGAAGAAAACTCAGTGCTGTTTCCTCTTCCACCTCTCGTGCAGAAAAACGGCTTTGAGCAGTTCTGCATCAATTTTGTGAACGAGAAGCTGCAGCAGATCTTCATCGAGCTGACCCTGAAGGCGGAGCAGGTACGGGGGGCTGGGCTGGGGGGCTGTGMCAGCACCCCAATTCCTGTCCCCCCACCTCACCATGGCTGGAGCAGGGGGCTGYAGCTCATGCCAGGGCTCGGTGCCCACCCGGCTGTCCCCGTGCCCCCAGGAGGAATACGTGCAGGAGGGCATCAAGTGGACACAGATCCAGTACTTCAACAACAAGGTGGTGTGCGACCTGATCGAGAACAAGCTGGTGAGTGGGGTCCCCGAGGCTTTTTGGGGAGATTTTTAGGGTCCAGAGGCACCCAGGGATGGGGGCTGGATGGGTGGGTGTTGCTGTTGGGATGGCAGGAGCCTGTCCTGCCTTGATGCCTAAACAAGGCTCAGCTGAAGC